ATAAACCGTATATTGGCAATAAAAATGTGAAACTAAACACATAATAAATTTCATGAAATTAACAATTTTCACTTCAATTCAACAAAGCAGCATCAATATTGTTTAAAGAAGAGAAGCTGCTTTCTTTTTGAATTCACATCTAATAATAAAAACAAAAAACCAATTAGTTCAATTATGGTTCAGTATTAAAATTAGAAAATGGCGTCATAAGAGCAATTAGTTATGAATTAATAACGTTTTAATAAATATTCACAGAACGATGATTTTACGCTTCGGTGAATCAATTTCGAGCTGTTTCCAAACATTTTCGCCTCGTACCCCGGCCACAAAATAGTTGCTTATCTAAATACCAAGCACCGGTTGTGTTCTTGCCCCATGGCTGTCAGTTGTAAACAATTCTTTCGCATTGTTGACGACCCGACCTTCAAGCCAATTAAGTTTAGAAAAATGACAAAAGCAACACAGACAGGTACAGCATAGTGGCAACAAGGTGGCTGGCCATTGGTGACGTCGAGTTGCTACCACTTGCTCATAAGTGAACCCACAACCCACTATTAGTCAAATGTTTTCAATTAAAGGCGAATTTAGAGCTGGCGCTTAAACATTATTATAAATAATCGTCAGCTCATTGCCGTGAAAGTCGTCAGTCCACCAACTGGTTTCGTATGCGATATGCGAATACTTACTTGCCTTATGTTAATTGTCGGCGATTTGTCGTTGTTTTTGTCTTTGTTGGTGCTGCAATTGTTATTGTTATGCAAGCCATCAATCCAGCTAACCAGCAGCCAGCCAGTCAGCCAGGCCGATAGAATTGTCTAGAGACCAGCACGAGTGTGTGGGCTGGCACTGGGGCTGGGCGCGTCTGGCGTAGAGATGGAACTCATAGCGAACGGTTTGCATAACACGACCCAGCACAAATTTTGTGGCAGCCACCTGGGTCGCCAAAAGTGACTATAGATCATCAATAGCTCAATACCTATTTAAAAAGGAAGGCAAGTATCCTTTTAAAAGGCGCTTCGAAAAAATTTAAACATTTGAAATTATTTGACCATTGTATACTCGTATAATAATATAATAAGAACAGAAGGTCTCTAATTCGCTTTTGATAGTAAAGAATTTTGCAGATGCTTAAAACAGACCGTAAAAACAAAGATTTTAGACTTAACTCAACAGTTATGTACCCAATGGATGGCCGGAGTTATGAGTAAACATTAAGACTTCATCGGCATCAGATAAAAGTAGATCAAAACCGCCAACGCTACGAGTATATCAGAAATTGGTTGATGTTGCTAAGCCGAAAGAAACTTTCCAAAATATTTATTTATTTTCTTCATCAATGGCCTTAATGAATAAAAAATCTTTTTTGTAAAGACGAAAATCGAATATAGTAACTAGTTTGAATACATATAGTACAACCTGAATGATTTAACAAAAGTCATATTAAAAATGGTGGGACACTGGGTTGCAATCCGCAGAAAATGTTTTGTCCAACAAATTGTTGGAGTTGGCCAACATTTTCTTTGCAGCGTTGAAAACACGATCCTCGTCCATCACTAGAGTGGCGCTGCTGAGGCGTACATTACCCTCTCGGCCAGTGTCCAAAGAGAAAACAAGATTTGCGGCACATGCGAAATGTGTTACAGCCCGGATTTTGCGATGTGAGCACAGGAATTTAGAAATAACCCAAACAATGCCTTCAGCGAGCACATGAGGTAGCCGAAAATAGCTAAAGATATATCGCTATCGCCTGGCAACATTTTTTTGGCGGAAACAAAAGAATTTTAAGGCTGCTCGAAACTGTGTCTGAATTATGTCGCCAGATCGCCATAATCATTAATCACGTTAAAAACTGCTGACAAATCGACATAACGGCAAGAAGTCGACATCGAAATCGGCGGCAGCGGCAGCGACTACGGCAGTGGCAGCAGCAGCAGCAGCAGCCGCAGTCGTAATAACAATAACAGTAGATATAACGCTCATATATAGTATGTACCTACTACGAGTAGATGTATTGTTAGAGTCTGCAGCAGCTGCGAAAAAGTCGCTTGAGCAATAGCCTTTGCTTATTACAAAAGCGGAACTGGCTTGGATACTCATACTCATACTTATAGTATATCGGCAGTTCGTATGTCGCGCTATTTACAAATAAGTCCGGCGGTTCTATGTGGGCTGGGTACATAAGCCAAAGTGTTGCAAGCCAGGGATTATTTGTTTATTTTTTGTATGGCCAGACAATAGTGCCCGATTAGCATAAGACATGCGGGAATAATTCCACACGAGGTTACACTATCCATGAAGCAAAGACAACTCTTACAAGAATGAAACCAAGTTTTTAAAGCGTATGTCTTGGAAAATGGAAAAGTTCGAGTTTCAAGAAAGCAAAGGTATGAAACGAGGATAGGTACAGAGTGTTTGTCTTTTTAAAAATATATATGATGAGCTATATCGCTGAATGCTTTTCAACGATTTGAAGGGCATAAGAAGCTTGTCGGCGTTAGATTACACTATTTTCATATTCTTGATCGTATTTCGGATCTATCTCTTATTTTGTTAATGTGCACCGATTTTTAAAAACAAATTTCCACAATTTGCAAACGTTGTTTGGGCTTAGATCTCTTCATTAACTTATTCTACTGAAATGAAAACTTCAAAATGGTTATACATATGTAGTTGCTAATATGTTATATATGTACTTGTATATGTAGAATTCATATTATTACTCTGATTTGTTTGACCAATTTATGTGCTTTTGGTAGGGCAGTCATGCATTGAACTTGTGTTGTTCCTTCTTTTATTCTTTTCTAGCTTATACAAGTTTTGAAATGCAGAAAAGTTTGAAATACAAGTATATGTGTTCATTATAAAAAAGTTTAGATGTTTCTTCAAATCATTCAATTAATTATTTGGCAACAAACTTTTTGTAATCACATGATTCTTCAATTAGTTTTGTCTTACGTAATATTTTCAACTCATTTCGTTTGGAAGACTTATATATTTCCGAAGTATAGCTATTAATATTTGTTTTCCTGTCATTTGAGAGAGTGATTATATGAATTTATGTACGTGGTATTATGCTTCCTTTCAAAAATTGGTTGAATCGCCTCAATGTAAGAAGTTCACTATTATTGGTATCTTTATGGCATCTTTACGGGTTCTTTTGTTGATGAGTGTACGAAATTACCTCACATTATTTTCAATTTGTTCACTATGCCTACGTGATTGGCAATTGTAACTACCAGCCGCGTGCCTTTCTCAATTCTTTCGAAATTGCAGAAAACAAGACCTTGAATATTGAAGATACTCGTTCGTATGGACAGTAAAGGAATCATAACACACCAAGAGCAGAGCAGAGCAGACCACGCCAGACCAGACCAGACGAGACCAGGCCTTCAGAGCACAGAAACTGTTTCATTAACTCGAAACAAGTCCGCCTTGCCTCCCCATAGCCCACTGCCACCAGGTAATGCCAAGACAAATGCGTACACCAGCCATGACATGCAAGCAAAGTGCGTGCACATGAACTTGGACTACTTGGCCATAACATAACTGCGGTCTTGGTCGCTGCGGTCGTTAACGCGCCTGCGCGGCAGTGAAAATTGCAGCGCATGCGTGCCTCTGTGTTTTGTTGTGGATGTCGCTGGTCGCTGGTCGCTGGTCGGTGGTCGTGTGCGTGCATGTGCCAAACACGAACTCGAATTTTCACGGTCAACTTTGGGGAAAATGACAGCAGAGAAGTGTAAAATTTGTTGTGCACGAGTGCGAGTGCGAGTGCAAGCCAGACCGCGCGACTGAACGTGTCATGCCACATCGAGAGCCATAGGCACGGTGTGATGCAAGTGGCGGCGACTGCCAACTGCCAACTGACCAACTGGCCGAGTGACCAAGTGGCCACATATCTGCCTCTGACTAGCGCAATTGAGTGACTAAGCCGACGTAGACACCATGCTGTGCGGGGAGGGGACTCTACAGTTTATTTTGACGGGTTTTTATTTTTATTTTTCTTTGTGGCGCTTGAGACTAATGGGCTTGCAGTCGTCGTCGCTGGCCGTCGTTTGATGATTGGGGCTGTGGCTCCAACTTTAACTCGAGCTTTGCTTTGGAAAAATGAAAACGAAAGTGTTGTTGTTGTTGTTTGTATAGTTGCTGCGACGGCAGGGAACACTGTCGTTGCCCGACAAGCGATTTTTCACTAACAGACGAAGCCTATAGTAGTATTTAAAGCTACACTTCGACAAATGACTTCCCTTAAGTTCAATATTCACTTTTTGCTTATTTAGGAACCCAAATCCGACCTTTTATAGCGAATGCCTGTATTTTAGCAACGTTTAAGCCCACAGCGACTAAATATATAATATTAAGTATACGCATTACGAGTTTATTTTAATCTTTGGATATTCCTCCCCCATCCATATTGTATTTGATGAATATTGTGCACAATTCCAAAGTTAAATAATAAATCCGTCAACGAAAAGCTATTGCCAAAGCTATTAGCCATTCTTCGTTGCATTATAAATTCCTTTCATTCTTTAATGTACTTCTTCATCTAAACTATGTATTTATGTTACCTTTGTTATACTCCTTTTTTGAGTCAATATTTGTGCGTGTTTTTCTCAGTGTAATCGTTGCACATGCAAACTTTTGGCACCTTACCCCTACACACACATACTCGGACACACACATACCACAAGCTGCACAATTGGCGGGGCACTGAGCCGTTGGCGTTTGTTTTTCAAGCTTTTCTTAACGATGTTGAAAAAAATTATTATTATTGTATTTTGTGCACTTTTTGGCGTTTTTGAATTCGCTTTATTTTTTTTTTGTAATTTTTTTTTTTGTATTTCGCGTGTTTTCTGCATGTGTTTGTTTGGGTTTTGGCTTAGTTTTTCGGGTATAAAAGAGCGCGTTAAGTCTAAGTCAGCAACACAAATCGTCCAAGCGTCAACACAGACCTACTGTACACTTAGTAGCATTTAAAGTCAGGACTTGCAAGGATTATAAAAATGTACAAGTTGGTGAGTGTCCAAGCTGAAGGCTTTGCGATAAATTGCAATTCTACAGAGATCATTCTCAACATTCCAGGTGGTGTTGTCCGCTTTGCTCGCCGTAGCTGCTGCCCGCCCGGGTTACTTGGAGTCGGGACCTTTGCTGCACACCTATGCTGCGCCTGCCATTATTCACGAGCCCGCCCTGGCAAAGATAGGCAGCATTGTGAAGACAATTCCAACGGCTGTGTCTCATCAGAGCATTAGCCAGGTGCACAGTTCGGCGCACATTGTGCAGCCAATTATTGCACCGGTGGTGAAGACTTATGCTGCCCCGGTTATACATGCGGCCCCCATTCTAAAGACCTACTCGGCGCCGGCTCTGCACACAACGCTGCTATCGCCCTCGTGGTCCGGCCATGGCTGGGCTCCGTCCTGGTAAGCTCCGACTCCGGTAATCATTGGCATTGGCAACTGGACGACGGTACTGTGAGAGTGAGAATTTTGAGAGAGTGATTGTCAGTTGTGACGGTTTTAATACGTTACTCTGGCCTCGATCTGAAGGAGATTTGTTCTCTTTTTCTGCATTTTTGTTTTCTTGTCTATGCTTATTTCGACTGATGTAAATAAAGTACATTATATAATCGAACCTTATAATTGTAGATTTATTTCGTATTATGTAAGCCAAAAGAGCCACTTCTGTTGCTTGAATCCGAGAATAATATCTGAAATGGGGTCAGCTGAAGGCGTCAAAAATCTTTAATACCTATATATTGCTTGGTTTAGTAATTTAATCTAATTAATTTAGATAGAACAATTTTGAAAAATATATTGGGAAGTTGGATTCCGCGTTTGCTTGTTTGGAGTATTTCTGTATAAATTCTGGAGAGTTTCTATTTGTAAAAGATAAACCCACCACTACACTTCACCGACTTCACCGAATTTAAAAGAGTAAACAAATGAAAAACAAGAAAGGAATGCTAAAGTCGAGCAGACTAAACTCTTAAATACCCTGTACCATCCCACAAACAAAAAAAATTGGTTTAATTTAATTAATTAAATTGATCGATTTAATTAATGAAATTAATTAATTAAATAATCAGAAAAAATGAACAAACTCGTTCTTTCTCGGGCTTAGGAGAATCTGGATACCAAGTTTGGTCATTCTAGCTCTTTTACTTTCTGAGATCGTTGCGTTCATACAGACAGACAGACGGATAGACGGACATGGCTATATCGACTCGCCTTGTTATCCTGATCAAGAATATATACACTTTGTGCGGTCTGCCACGCCTCCTTCTGTGTGTTCCACTCGCACAAAACTAATGTACGCTTTTACCCTTTGGGAACAGGGTATAAATATATATAATGTTGAGGCACAGAGCGTTTTCGAATGCGTTTTTATTAGTATATGGTTATTGTCTGAAGCGCGCCTTGGACACGACAATTAAGGCACCAACTAGTTTCTATTTCAATGCATATGTGTTTATTTTGCCACGCAGGGCCATGTACTTGTATGTTCGACTATGAACCGAAAGAAATTAGCCAATTAAAAGGCATCCAACTCGAATATTTAAATTATATACAGGAAATAAAAGGGCGTTGCCTGACGGCTACAAAAAGGATAACAAAGTGAAATGTCCAAAGAGAACAATAAGAAAATTAGTCGAGGCGATCAAAGCAAATATTTATTGAGTTGTTATGAATTATTGAGCGTTTCTTGCTTAGCAGAGAGTAACAGAGAGAGAAATTAAGACGACCTAAAAGGAAGGAAGAATTGACACCACCGACAATCAATTTATGAAGGAACACAATTCCATGGAAAGTTCTCTGATCAGTCAGCGAAAGAAGATTAATGCGCAGAAGTCTGCTTGAGTAGGGCGGCAAACCGAGTTGGGTTGGGATCCCAGCTTAAATCATAAAAAGCAAGAAGAGGGAATTTTTTCTGAAGAGACTCAATTCGACGAGATTTCGATTTCTGAAACTCAATTTGTGTTCGCCACTTGACTAGTTTTCAACTTCAGCAAAATAGCACTAAAAAGCAATTAAGGTTAAGGCACGTAATTAAATTTTTTAACAATCACATTTTATTCGCAACTAAATTCAATTGTGTACATGAGAATATTGGGTTTTTAGTCCGTCCAACCAGTTCGTCAGTTCGTTAAATGTTTACCATCCAGCGTTGTAGACAACAGGCGAGCCGATGGTCTTCAGCACGGGGGTAGCAGCATAGGTGCTGTGCACCAGAGGGGCAGCGGCATAGCTGGTGTGCACCACAGGGGCAGCAACGGTCTTAACGATGGGAGCAGGGGCGGCCACGTAGCTGGTGACAACTGGAGCAGCATAGGTCTTTACAACCGGCGCCACAACATCTTGAACGACATGTGCCGAGCTGTGCACTTGGCTAAGGCTCTGATGGGACACGGCCGTGGGAATGCTCTTCACGACAGCACCAACCTTGGCCAGGACGGGCTCCTGCACAGCGTATGTGGCGGGCGCTGAGTAGACGAGGGGCGCGGATTCGTAGAGATGTCCGGGACGAGCGGCAGCTACGGCGAGGAGAGCAGACAACACCACCTATGGATGGGGATGAAGCCGTTAGTTGAAGGATCTTTCGTTGGAAGCAGTCAGCAGTACTCACCAATTTGAACATTTTGAAGGGGTTTTTGTTGTTTTGTTGGTCTGTGTTGTGCTTGGGAAGCTAAATAAGTTGACTGATAATGGACTGGCATTGTGCGCTGGCTTATATACCAAAAATTTAAAACGCTGCTGCTACGATTTTCGTCGACGTCACTGACGCAGTAAAAGAGAAGTTTAATTAAAATATTTAAGTGCGCCGCTGCCGACGCAAAATAATATAACTCTTGTACTGCAAACATGAACACAATAAAGCATGAGACTTGAAATTGAAATCGAAACCGAACCAAAGCAAACCGAACCGAACCGAACCAAACCGAAGCGTTGACCCTGAAAGAACACACGTCCAGAGCTCTTCCAAATTACGCATTCAAAGTGCAAGTAATGCAGCGAACTGAAGCTGCAGCCACAGAGTAATTGCTACACTTAAAGGGCCCGAGTGCGTCATCGCTCAATAGTGGAATTAATAAAAGGTTTCTAATGGCCACAGAGCTGGCAATAGACCAACAACCAGTTTGTGGACAGCTGAGCCGCCCACCGACGCTAATTGCTTATTGATCGATGCTGCCTTTACGAGAGAATCTAAATCTGTGCGATATGAGTCTCATTTTTGGCCGCGCTATGCGCTGTGTGTGTGTTGGTGCGAGCATTGTGTCGTGTGATTGAAGGCTAAAACGTACGAAGGCTTTTTTGGTATATAAACGCCCGCTGCACTAACCAGAGCACAAACAGTTATCGCAAGAAACTCAACGACTTCAGTCAATACAGACCACACTCCCGAAACAATCAAAATAAATCAAAATGTTCAAGTTGGTGGTATTGTCTGCTCTCCTCGCCGTAGCTGCCGCTCGTCCCGGTCATCTCTACGAATCCGCGCCCCTCGTCTACTCAGCGCCCGCCACATACGCTGTGCAGGAGCCCGTCCTGGCCAAGGTTGGTGCTGTCGTGAAGAGCGTTCCCACGGCCGTGTCCCATCACAGCCTTAGCCAGGTGCACAGCTCGGCACATGTGGTTGAGGATGTTGTGGCTCCAGTTGTCAAGTCCACACCAGTGGTCACCTACTCTGCAGCGGCTCCAGTGGTGCACACTGCCTACGCAGCTGCTCCGGCTCCACTCATCAAGACTGTGGCCGCTGCTCCTGTAGTCCACACCGCCTATGCTGCTGCACCTTACACCTCAATTGCTGCTGCTTCGCCTTTGACCTACACTGCCACCGGACTGTGGTAAATGCATCCCGAGACGCTTTCGTTTATGTTGACAAGGATTACGAGTTGTTGGACGGTTAAGTCTGTTAGAAAATGAATAAATAAATGTTTTTGTCTATTAATTTAACGCTGCATTATTTATTTGATTTACCATTGGCAAACGATTAATAATTGATTAATCGAAAAGAATAACATGCTCGTCGATTATGTTACACTTGAGAATATATATTTATCTAATAAGCCAAGAAGTTATATTCATCTGCGCAACATAAACACAAACAACATAAACTTTATGTCTCCCTGATTATGGGACGCAAACCACTACTGTGTCCAATTGGCACCAAATCGTGTTCGGATTAAATATCAAGGAGAATAATGGGAAAGCCGACCTACAATTCGCGATGAAGTCTTGCATGAAAATTGAAAACAATGCATTGACTAGTAATGGCCACTCCTACCCGAGAGTTTTAGCGGTAAGGATGCTAAATTGTGACATTAGATGGCATGTCCTTATGAAAGAATAGGGGAAAGGTCTGATATGCAAACACATTACGTACATACAAGTACTCTGGCTATTGCAAACTAGCTAAGCATCTTTTTCCAGATAGTTGGCAAGGAAAATACTCGTATAAATACATAGTATCTACACAGGAGTAAATTAATTGTGGGAAGATAGTATTTTATGGTGGAATTAAAGTGTAATCAGTTGCGTGGCAAAGTAAACTTGGACAACAGCCCACGTAGGGTGTTTGCTAGTTGTACATATATAATCAAATTTAATTGCAGTTCCATTGTTTATTTGTGCCTGGAACTTGCTTCCTTGGCAGTGCCGGATCGTTGCTCCTTTGCACGTATTTTGTGTGTACTTTCCTCGCCTAGTTTTGACAAATACCATACGCCTACGTGGCCTAAGCTTCTCCTCTTGTTGGTTATTCCCAACACTGAAGTCCAGGGTTCTGTTTTAAGTTAATGTCAGCAAATTCCAAGGTAACTGCTGAGACACACCAGATGAGAGAATGCGAGGACATTGAACTTTTTGCATGGGCAGAAGTGCTGCCATTTTATTATTTAACTTTTTGGAAAATCATATTGGGGGCATTACTTTTGCTATTGCTTTTGGTACGGAAAGATGCCAAATTTTGTTGCCAACATTCCCACTGGTTTCAGTACCAAGGTCTGGCCCACACCCATCACCGCCCGCGCTGGCTGTGGCACAGAATCTTCGAGGAGACTTTGCATCGACGCGAAGAAACTGCTGCGCCTACTTCTGTGGGTTTTCAAGGGCTTCGTTGTAGTGCCTTGTATTACGGCTGCTATTTTAACCGGGACATTGACAGATTCCTCTGCTTCCATTTCGTCATCCAGTTCCGGGTCTTCTACATGTATGTAGCTGCTAGCCCAACTCGATGAGCATAAGGCCAAGCAGAGCAGCAACTGCAGCAAAAGAGGATGCATTAGTTATTGCATAAATGTAGTAATTTTTATTATAGTATTACCGATTTTAGCATTACACGTTTAATTAGTTTCTATGTCCGCGGCTTATGTGGAAATGCATTTATAGAGCTTTGTAGTTGGCGCTTTTATAGGCATTCAAGGCACTGCTGCGGCAGATGATTTTACAATCAAGTTCTAGGAAAAGTTGTTAATGAGCACTCGGGATTGCAGCTTTCGCATAAAATGTTCCGCGAAAAATGAATTTAATATGGGTAGTTGTGATAAGATATTTTAAAAAGTCAGTGAAAAGGTATTGTGGTTTTCTTATAAAGGATGTCGGGGCATGCTTGTAGTATGGATAAATAAATTTTTATTTTTTAATTACTTGTTTTGTATTGAGTAAAACAAAAATATAGTTTGTGCAAAAGAACAAAAGCAGAATTACTACTCACAACATTCGGCAAACAAAACTCTCAGCTTAGCCATGTTAAACTTGTTTTCCGACTGGTTAGACAACTAGGATCTGCACTGTAGAGTATTGGATAAACGCCCATAGAAGACATTCAAAATCTTCATACAAAATCAGTTCCAACTACAGGCTATTAAGGTTTGGATACTCTATGTCTATCTACCGATGACACAATACATTAACCGCAAAGGTTCTCTTTCTCATTGATGTGATGGCTACATATACGTAAGAACCACCCTGAAAAAACATCAATAATTCATTTCAATATTGATATCTTGCATTTAGCTGCGCAATCTGAATTGAGAGTCGAAAAATGCACGTGTTTTTTACGACTCAACACCGTCATTGCCACTTTAGCGTCAATTAAATTTATGGGTACAATAGAGCAATCAGTTAATCCTCGAGCAACGGCAAATCAATTTGGTCGCAATTTGGTCGTGAACCAACTAAGCGACAATTCAATTCAACTCAATTCAGTTCTGTCTGAGACGTCAATGTCCGCAATGGCTAGCTGCTTTGCTTTTGGTTCGCAGACTCGTAACCTCGCAGCCAGGTGCTACGTGCGACTAATGAGCAGAGCCGCTTTGAAATGAAAATAAGAGTGGGTTTGGCTTATTTAGCGTTCGGTTCGATATATTGCTGGGCTAGAAAAATTACAAAAAACAAGTACACACAGACACATACTCGTAGTAAGTATTCCGTGTGGTGTGGTCGAGCATAATGAGGTAAAGAGTAGAAATTGGACACGAATAGCAATAATCTCGTTTATGGATAGCAAGACAAGAATCCATTCAGACACGTACTTTTAATGCGTGCTCTGCATCCGCATGTGTGTATATATACATATATGTGTGTGTGTGCGTGTGTGTGTGTTTGCGAGCCCCGAAATTGAAGTTCAAGTATAAAAGCGCTCGTCAAACTGTCAGCGAACACATTTCAGTTTCAGCTCGATTCGAAGAATAATCCATCAGTCAAAATGTACAAATTGGTAAGTGGCAGGAAGCGTACCAAGGTGGAACTACATATTTACTAATCGGAACAACTCGATTTAGTTTGTTCTCGCTGCTCTGCTCGCTGTTGCCGCCGCCCGTCCCGGCAATCTGGCTGTCGCCCCGGTAGTCTACAGTGCTCCCTTGGCCGCCTCTACGACCATCGTGCAGGAGCCTGCCCTGGCTAGGGTTGGTGCTGTGGTCAAGAGTGTGCCCACGGCTGTGTCTCACCAGAGCGTGACTCAGGTGCACAGCTCACCGGTGGTTGAGGATGTGGTTGCTCCGGTAGTCAAGACTACGCTGCATGCTGCTCACGCCCCAGTTGTTGCTGCCCCCGCTCCCATTGTGAAGACAGTGGCTCCTGTCGCTTACTCCGCACCCGTTGCCTACTCAGCACCGGTGGCCTACTCCGCCGGTCCCGTGACCTACGCTGCCGCCGCCACCCCTCTGACCTACAGTGCTCCAGTGGCACGCAGCTATATTGCCTCCAGCCCTCTGCTGCACAGCGCACCACTGACCTATGCCGCCCCCTTCAGCTACGCCGCCCCCGCCACCTACGCAGCCAGCGCCTGGTAAGCGAGAGAGAGAGCAAGAGTGATAGAGAAAGAAATGAGAACAAAAGATTTTGTCGCCCGCTGTTGACTGTTGGCCAAGCCGAACGAAATAAAAGCAATTATAGAAAATTATGCCAAAACTCCTGATTTTATTGCCAAAGCCAGTTTACTGCTCCGCTCTTGTTCCTGTTTGTTTGTGTTCCTGCTCCCCTTTCGCCTTCTTCTTCTCACTTCAGATAGATGCTGGGATAGCTTTCAGCGCCCCAGCCGGCACTGTCGTACCAACCGCTGCCGTAGCTGATGGGCGAGGCAGCCGCATACGTCACTGTGGGCGCGTACGTGTTCAGGAGCGGCGCATGCCCCACAATGGGACGCCAGTAGGGACGCTTCTCATGCACCACCGTCGAGCTCTGATGCGACACAGCCGTGGGCAAGCTCTCGTAGCTATGTCCGATCAGTGTCGGCGCATATTCCACGGTCTCATAGCTGGGCAGCAGCGCTGAGCTGCCGTGCAAATAGCTGGGGCGCGCCTGACTCAGTGCCGCATATAATGCCACGAAGAGCAATATCTGCAAAGGTTACTCTTTGAAAGGATTCCGTTCTGCCATACTACTTGTATAGCTCGCGATACACTTACTATTTTAAACATATTTTATTTTACGCGTTGTCGTCAACCTCGTTGGGCAGCTGCCTCGAAACTATGACACAGCTTGAAGATCCATCGTTGTTTTATAGACCCTGAAAAATGTTGGCGCATCTTTACGTTAGAATTGGCACAAACAATCGTGCCATCAGTATGAATGGGTCAGATTTTCCTATGCTTGGTTTCGTTTCGCTAGGTCTTCTGTTTCTTGTCTTTCTCTGCATTTATTTCCCAGCCAAGATGGCTCATTAATGGCCCATTTAGGCGTAACTGACCAGTTTAACAATGGCAATTCGAGCCAAGGCAAGGCAATGCGAGCAAACATCAAAAAGCAGCAGCAAACCAACTCAAGCATACAAGTAGACACCCAAATGGCATGCTAGCTGTGGAAGCTGTTTTTCCAACGCTTTTGGCTAACAATTTCGTCAGCTGGTCGAATTCGTTGTCGTTCCACCCACCCATAGGCCACTGGTTGCTGTATTCATAAATCAGAAGAGGTTTTTTTTTGCTACTTTGCATATAATCGACTACGCTAATGGCACATTAGGGTGACCCTTGCTTCTGCGCAGAGGTAATGTAAAAAGTAAATTGATTGCGTGCCGATTATTAAGATATGTATTTTGTTGAAGAAGATAGATTTTATGAGTATACTACGACTCACGGCATTCAAATACCTTACACTATTCAAAAGCTGTAGTTTATCCGCATAACTTTTAAAAACTTAAAGACATAGTTATGTTTCTTGATATGATACCTAATTTACAAGTTTTTAAAAGTTTATACCGGGGAGCTGCCAACTTGTTCTTTTAAATTTCAGCACAAATTGGGAAAGTTGGCAGGTCTATTCAGTTTATTTGCATACACAAAAGTATAATGTTAGTTTTAAGTAGATATGTTTTAATTAAGTAGAAAAGAATACAGCTGCCTGTACTCTTAACATTAAGATATATTTACCTCCTTTGTAAATTCATAATGTTTTTAAGAAATGTGAATACATTGAAATTTAAGCAGATATATAAAGACATATTTCAATAATTATCCTCCTAGGTTAACAACCGAAAAATAATATGTGTTATTTAACAATAATATTTATGTTATTTGTTACATTTGTTTTTTGCGGAAAACGATTCCTTATCTTCCTTTTGGATTTAAAATGATATACATTTTTGTCGCCCAGGAAACGGAATTCGTAAATGTCAGTAGTTCCACCCTAATGTGTCTTAACTCTCTCTTCTGGCTGAGGAAACTTTTTTGCTTTGGACCACAGCTGCTGCTGCCTGTGCCTGTGGCTGCAGTTAGTTTAAGGCTCGGCTTGCTCGGCTTGCTCGGTTTGCTCCTCCCGCTACAGTATTTGATCAAAAGGAAACATGGTACCCAACTTAAATGGCACACAATACAATTACCTCGGTTCCAGTGCGATGGCAGAGTCGCATTAGCATAAATGCGTTGCTTGATTTTCCACGGTAGACTGCGTTTTCTTGGCTGGCGTTGTCGCTAAATGGTTTGCTATTTTACATGTGTTTAGACTCTTGACCAATTGTTCGCGGGATTCTTTAACTCTTTGCTTTGGTTTTCATTTTAATTAAGTGTTCTTGCAAGTTGAATGAATTCCCAGTCCATTTACTCTGACCTTGAGGCTAATTTAATTGGACGTAAGCAGCTCCAGCCCCAGAAACAACAACAACAGCCTCGTCGTTCAAATGCATAAACAATCCGAAAGCCGAATCACAAACAACAACAAATAAACGCGAGTAAAAATCTACAAACATAACAACGCGCTGACAGCCAAACAACGATATAATCAGTGGTCAGAGTTTGTTGTTATTATTGTTATTTTTGTGGTATTTTCCGACTCTGGCGCCAAGCGGAGCGCAACCAAAAAACCAAACTGTTGTCTGCAGCTTTTGCCTCTCTGATAATGGGTTGTAAATCACTTAACCCTTGGGCAGGTGCTACAAAGCCCGACTCCGCTCGCGCGGTGACATTTTCTGGTCTGCGACCCAAATTTTCTTGCTGCGCTTTTTAATTGACTTAACGCAGTGGAAGCTCGAAGTTAATTTCATTTGGCCCATGGTGTAAAGTAATTTGTCTTAGTCCATATGATTTGTGAGCAATACGACACATTGGCATTAATAATTGGTATTGCCAAGCTTGAAGGCTTGCTTGTGATCAAAGCAAACGTTGGTTATTGTGAAAGGGGAGTTTTGATTAAGTTGTTATTGGAATTTCTTTAAGTTACACCAATGATCGCACTCGCTGGCTAAAGTGTGCTGTTATTTATTTATTTATTTATTTTTTTTGCCACCGAAAAGGAAAGAAAAAGTCGATTGTTCCAGCGAGCGGGTTGCCTCAAACCGCATTTATTTATATGTGCCTTGTATGGCTGGCTTTCACACGCCCCTCTTGTTAAATTCAAAAGCTTATCTTAATTCATTAAACTTAAAATAAGCTTACATACTTACTTCACTACTCTTAAACTAAGCTTACACACTAGGGCTTTGTGACTGCCACACCAGGCCGTACTCAAAACTGAATTGTCGGAGACAAAGGCAATTCCAACAGCTAGAGCGTTGAAGTCGTGCACGCCCCCGACTTTTTATCACGCTATATACTTTACGCGACATGTTTAGTGCTAAGATTAACATTTGGAATTCTTACTATATAGGCAAGAATGTGGAAGCACAAATAGCTAACTCCTTTACCCTGTTAGTACAGAGTATAAAAATAAAACATTTCTATATTTCGTCGATGTATGTAAATCAATTAATTCATTGTCCGTCTTGCGTTCGGAAATTCTTATGCAAGACTAGTTCACGCTTTTGTGGCAACAACTAGCTTCACCTGCAGTTTATAACTCTGCTTTGTTGACGACCTGATTTGCGTGACTTTTTAAGCCTGCAAGTAATATTAAATCATCCTTGTGCGATGATGGTAGCGCCGTGATTCGAACCGAGTGTGTAAGAACTTACATGAAGGGATTCCTGATAGTTGGTTAAGCTATACCAGGCCCCTCCAATTTTCTGAGGATGTTTTGCAGCACAAATATGCTTGCATGTTTCAATTCAGATATTTTAAAATTTCAAAAATCCGCGTATTTGTTTGAATAACCGTTTCTTAACATCGCTATAAATTCGTGATATAATAATTTCAAAGTCTGCTTTTAGGCAGCTCTGTTAATTGTTGCTTGCTGTTAAGCTTTTTGCAACAGGTGTGGGCTTTGGGTGTAGATTTAACCCACGACTAGGCGAAGTTTTTTGCTTGCCATGAGCCACAGACCGTTAACTGCTGCTCACAAGCTACTCGTATAATAAAAGCCACATGCAGGCAGACTAATTAACAGCACTTGCCCAAAACAGCAGGAAACGAACGCATTTGAGTGTACAATACCCCGTAAAGGCAAATACAAAATATTTTCAGCCAAAAAAGGACGAAATGGTATTATGCACTGGCAATTAAGACCATTACAAAAAGAATCAAAATATGCAAACAATGCAAGCGGTAGTTTGATTTTGGTTTTTGTTCTTCCAATGCTATGTCTTTGCTTCTCTCCAGAGATTGACTGCAATTTTCGACTTGGCTTTTGTACGACCGCTGATTTATGTTGTTGTAAATCGATGTGAATACTTGTATTGGCTGACAAGTGTACTTAGCAGCTTAATTAATTGTGATTTTCAGATAATGTGCGTAAACAAAAATAAAACACACGCGCCAAATCTAGTTTAATTAGCAGCGGAATATGCGTCGGTTTGGATCGAACCGGATCGAAATTTTCGTTAACGCAGTTTATCACTTAAGCTGTGTTTCGAATCAATTTACTTATCACTTAAGTGTCATGTAATTGAAATTTGCAGCTATTTAATAGCCACATCCGCCATTGAAACATACAAACGATTGGCAATTGACCCCATCGCCTTGCCCACGGTCTGGCTTTCGGATGAAGTTACTGTTGGGAGTACGACTTCTGTTGGGCATTGCGGCAATTGTCGAGTTATTAATTTTAATGACTGTATTACAACAGCGGGCCATAAACGCACTAAAAACTGCTTTTTTGTCTTCGAAATTATTGCCAAATCACAAGTACGTTCGACCAACAACAGCAACAGCGGTTGGTCGTGTTTGGTGGCCTAACAACTTCCTCGATTACAGAGTCGTATTCGAATCGCTTTGTTGGTCTATGGATTTTAATGTATACCTGAGCCGCAACTATCATTAACTATAATTGACTTTTCGTAGACAACAGTGTTCTTATTTCATTTGCGCGCACCCCACTGGTGTGAGAATTGTGTGTCTCCGCAGTCAACGAAATGCATATAGATTTGTGTTAACTGCCAACAATTTTAGCTTTTAGCTTCCATTCCATCTGCTACATTTATTTCGCGCAGCTTCCGCTCTGTGGGCAACAATCCAGAGCCGGCACATAAAATGCTCTAAGCATTGTAACTTCGATCGTTTGATCGCTGTTTTGTTGTTTTGCTGTTTTTTTTTGTATATGTATTAATGTGTATTTATATGTTGTTCGATTTTATTGCATGTCTGAAAACGTGTAATTTCGTTTCAGCTCCGGCAGCTGCCCAGCAATTTCAAGTTCAGGGTGAGTAACCAAAAGTCAATGATTCTAACTAGAACAATGGACCAAATCAATTGGAATACAACAACAAAAAGTGAAAGTCAAATTAGATTCATTAGACGATATGAGTATGGCAATTCTAGAAATAAAACTAAATTTGTTCTCAAACAGAATACACTAAAAAAAAGTGAGTGCATATAATTCCTATTACAACATACCGAAAAAACGAAAATCTGGAAGAAAATTGTTAGATAATGGCATGAATATCTTTATTGCTAATGCACTAATGCAGATTATAATAAGTACCATATCAAAAGCAAAATCCATTGTTAAATGAGAATCCCTGAGAAGATCATAAAGTAATTCAACATTTTATATGGTATAATTAATTTATTATTATTATTAATTAATTTATTTATTGAAAACCAGTAGTGTACTA